GATCTGACCCTTGCAGAAACTGCAACTGGTCCCCGCTGGGATATAAAGCTGAAGAGGCAAAGGAAATGGGACAGTGACTCTCAAGTTCTGCTCCGGCAGAGTGACATTTTTGCAGAACCAGTGCTTTGACAAGAAGCAGTTTGGCTAGGAAGTGTATGATGACAGTAGAAATAAGTAGCTGATCTGGAATCAGAGAAGGCTGACATGGAGGAGTGCTTATATCTGAAACAAATGCTTCTTGATGATTGATTTCTTTTCCCCACCTCCCGCAAGACTTTGACCAGTTTGATTAAGTTCCAGTCTGATGTAAAATGCACTGCTATGCAAGAGCTGTTTGTGTCAGAGACAATAAACAAGCCCTTTTAATCCTTTTCCTTGCTTAAACAGGAAGTCACCAATTTCTTGCCAGTGAGAAATTTAAAACAAATCCCGAAGTTTTATGTTTGGTTTGAAATGTGAAGTATTTGAGGTCTTGGGATCTTGCAGTCTCGGGAACCTCCCTTTGCTGACCCTAGTGAGAACACATGTGGACGATTGCTTGCTTTCTGGTTCACTTTCAGGGTCGCACCTTGGCCTCTTAATCCCAGAATCAATATGATCACAGATAGTTTCCTCTTGGGAATCTGACTAGTGAGGAGGATCACTGTGATTTCTGTTGCATAAAACATCCCCTCAGTCGCCGTATTGGTTCTCAGGCTTACTGTGTTTCATGGGCCTAAAGACTGTTTGACATCAGTAATTGTGAGAGAACATTTGTTTTTACAATGGAAAAAGAAATAAAAGTGCAGATGGCAGACCTCAGAATCCATACCTCTGAGTTGTTTTCATTTTAAAGAGTGAAAGTGTGGTTGCCTTTTTTTTTCCAAGTATATATGAATACAATAGTAGACATGCATTGCAACTAGGTTAAAATACATAAAGCTTATATTTGTTGGGGGTTTTATTCATTAAAAAATTAGAGCAAACTTTAAAGCAGAATTTTAAGTGAATTATGGGAAAGTAAAAACTTCAAGACAGGAAGAAAAGGGCTAAAGATGTAGGGAAAGTGGGAAGGGTAGGGAAAAGGTAATAAGGGAAAAGAAAAAATATGAGAAAATAGAAATAAAGTGTTTGTAAATGGGGAGGGTAGGAGGTGGTGAAGGGAGGGCAGGGACAAGGGGAAAAAATGAGAACCAAGACCTGTCATGTAAAGGTACAAGATCCCAATGATGAATGTAACTGTACTGTATACCTAGAATGTACCAGTAAACTCAATGAGAGAAAAAAGAAAACTCTAAGACATTTGAGTTTAGGTTAAAATAATGGCTAGTGTCAAAACAACAACAACAACAAAAAAAACTAACGGTTAAGGCGTGCGAACCTGTAGCCCCAAGTAGCCAGGAGACTGAGGCAGGAGAGTTACCTGAGCCTAGTGGTTCAAGGCGAGGCTGGACACCACAGTGAGATGCTATCTGAAAAAATTATTTAATAATAATATTAAGAATCACAGCTTCCTTATAAGAAAAGTAATGTTGTTCAAAATCGGAAGACTTAGCGACTAAGGAGTCTGCTTTCTCTCAGCATGATAAATTAACACTAGAAAGCACACCCAGCCCTCACTTGTTAGTGCTGAGGTCAGAGCATGATCCTAGCAGCAACCAGCTTTACAAATGTGGACATTCCGTGCCTTCTTTCACCGAGAGAGAAGCGAAGCCCTAACCCACTCCAGGCAGAACTCGGGAAGGTCCTGGAACCAGGGAGCTGCTCCCTGGAAGTAGAGAAGACATCTTACTACGAATGCTCCTGGGAATCTAGAGGCTGCTGATCGATCCACTTTGAAACATGAATTTTTGTATTGCCCACTTTCACTTCAAAACAATCCCTCTCAGAACAAAGTTGGGATCGGCCTCCCAGGGGCGAATGAGGGCAGGCCAGGGGGCAAACATCACTTCCCACCTGTTCTCAGCTGTCAGGAAGCCTAGGCCCCCACCGGGACCAATTACAAGTCCCAGGGAAACATCAGGTGAAGCCCAGCCCTGCGGAGGAAGCCCAGTCAAATGGGGTGCCCTTCTTTTAAATCGGGCGGGGGGGGCAATTAGTAGCGGCAGCTGCACTCTTTCACACGTGGCACAAGAAAGTTCAGAAGCAGGGTGAGCAGCTACCGTAAACGACATTCTTGTGGCCTTGGCCAGAAGGGGAAAGGCTTATGGGTTTCATTTCTCTTACTGCACAGCTTCTGAAAAAAATAATATTTTTAGGAAAAAGAAAAAAAAATTCAATGGTGTTTTCCGAAAGGTCAAGATGTTGAATAACACGGCTGCCTCAATAGAAGAAACAGCCCCAAATGTCAGCTTTTTTGGTTGCTCCGACACAGTTAACAAGAGGATGCCTGCCGAGCAGGTGAGGGGCGGGCTGTGGTCGCATCCAGCGGCCCATTTACCCAGCGGAGCCCAGGACCACGCGCTTTTTGCAGGCAAAATGAGGGGTGCTGGGCACACAGGCTCGGAAGCTCGCCGGTGAGCCTCTCCCTACCCTTCAGGGCTGGCAGAGCGGACACCGGAAGACTCCACATGAGAGAGGGTGTGGGGAGCCCCGCTGCACAAGGCAGGATACGGGGGATGTGAACTTGCCCGAGGACCAAGCTTTCGGGCGACAAACGCTTTCAACTGCCCTGGGGGTGGGGGTGGGGGGCTATTAGGGGGTGTCTTTTCGTTCTTTTTCCTCTTCCTTTTTTTCTCCCTTCCTTCTCCCCTTCTTTTCTCCTTTTTTTTCTTTTTGTTTAGCAAAATCTAACCAAATTTTGCAGAGCAATCATATTTCACCAAATCATAATAGCCAAACGCAACGAGAGTCTCTGGCAGAAAAATGGAAAGATTACTACAGAGGGGGGAAAACACCCAGCCATTTATTGGGTGACCCACGTCCTGGTTTACCCGGTCCGTACTTGCTCAGCGCACTTTAGCTCTGGGCCCTGGAGACCCCTCTGGGCCGGGGACACCGCCCGTGCCCCACCCCCACCCCAGCCAGCCCGAGCGGGAAGCTGACCTAGACGGGGCGTGCAGGGGGGACCTGGCGTCGCG